TATAATATTCCTTAGGAACCATAGGTATGTGTGGATAAATCCAACGAACGATAATAAAACAAATGGGTGTGAAACACTTAGCTATTCGACTATCAGTCAATGAAAAATCGTATAATATAAAAATATGCATTACGCAGTACACATCAAAAAATAAAAAACCATGCAAAATAAAACTGTGTATTCCGGATCAATTAACTATAATTCAACCTTGCGGCTTATCTAGCTTATTTTTGGACTTTTGCATTGCAAAATTTACGGTAGAATTGTATATAAAGATTATATTGAGAAATTGTATACATTAGATTGTATATGAATTCGAATTTTTATTTATAGAAATTTTTAAATGCAGTTAATGACTACATTTTCGTATACCTAGATTTTTCAAAACATTCGTTATAATTAATTTGTTCATTCCGGGCGTCCGCCGCCGATGTTTGAGAATCGATTTCCATTTTACGGTGAGTGCCATATGAAATAATAATTGTGGTATAGCTGTTTAAACGAAAACTACCGCCGCCACGCCTGGATATTCCCCCTCCATTCCACCGGTTGTCTTTCTACCACGTAAAATCTAAGTTATGATGGAGTTTATTATTTGTACAGAATAACTTGTTACACATGAGTGTGTTTTTTTTAAAAACCGTATTATATTATTATACGAGAAACTTTTTTTTTTCTCTTTCCTCTTTCTCAATAACGAAACCACACCGACTACGTAAAAATATAATTTAACCTCTTTAATGTATATTTCCAGTTTAATTTCTTGTAGAAAATTTTTCACAGAAAAAAAACAAAAATAAACATTCATCTAAAACCATGAGCTTCTTCGTTTCAATCATAATCCAAAATAAAACAAAAATAAAAATCAACTTACAATTATAATAGAAAATTAACTTTATTAACATTATTTTCAATTATAATTGTATTATTAAAAAATCGTGTTATGAAAAATTACATTAAAAAAAACCAATTATGACATGATAATTCTGAAAATTCCCCGGAAGCAAAGGTATAGTGCAGGTCTCATAATTCTGTGTACTGTGATATACTTTGTGAAACATAATATAATAGGTTTGCAGTACGAAATTAAAAGGGGTGTAGCGGCTATATTATATTTATTTGTGTTTGTTTTTAATTAAAATTTTTTTTATCCTTTCAATAATTATAATTGGAGAAAAAAAATTCTAAAATTTATATTTATTATATTTTTAAATAACCACGAGTTGATTCTTAACACATTGAGAGTTATTACATATTATTTCAAAAATGATGAAGACACAGAATAAATTAAAGGAATTTTTATTATTGATGCTTCATTCATAGATAATACATTATGATACAAAGAATCAAAACTGATCACATGTGTAATTATTATTTATTACATTCATAATGAGTAGAATCGTTTGGTTTTTTTAAAATTAATTTGAGTAAATTAAAAAAAAAATAAATCAAAACACAAATACTAGTAGAAATACTAGTTTAGTCCCTCTGATGGTATGTAAAATACACGTGTATTGTAGGTATTATATTAATTTAAAATTCAATCTTTACAAAAAAAGAAATACCCTGGTAAATAAAAATTGTGATTAATTTGCGAGCGATTATTTTTTCGTCGATGTGCCGATCAAAAATTCACTCCCTCCCATTAAAAACTGAAATGATTCAATTGCGCGGAGAGGGACGTGACAGTACGTATGATATCGTATGGCTTGATATACTGTGTGCTGTACAAAATAAAAATAGTATAGTCTAGTATAGGTTTTTATATATTATTTTTTTATTCTATGTATTTTCTGATGGAGTGATTATGTCGGGGGGTTATTATATTTATATTATGATTGTATAAACTTTGTTTAAAATTTCCTTTAAAATATCAAACAAAAAAAAAAAAAAAACGAACGACTACGCCAATGTGTCATCATAATTTTAAAGGACTTCATTTTGTTTTTCTTTTGGTAATCTTGTACCTTTTAGTCCGAGTATCTAATCTAAGATACTTTTCAGAAATATTTTATGACTCTGCTTCTTTAGGCCAGCCAAACGACCAAAAACCTTGTATTATAATATGTCCCCTCACCTTTAATGACAACGACAAATATAATAATATATAATAACGTGTTGTACGTGTATTGAATTTTGGTAGATATCCTCCCATAACTGATACGAGGTAAAAAAAAACATTTCTGGAAGGTTCCTATTATAGTTAATAATAACGAGAGGATAATCAATAAATATTATTTGTAAATTGTTATCCTCCAGCGTCTGGTCTTGGTCACGTTTTCGGATAGATATCAATCGTACGGGACGGCAGCTCCACGGGGATTGTGTAATTTCGATTCGTTCGGTTCAATGGGCATTTACTGTAGTATCGAATTATTGTTAATAAAAACAGACGGTATAGGAATGCGGTGTTTTTTTTCTATATCCATAAACCGTATGAATATCGTATATTATACATAATAACATACTTATCTGTTAACAACATGGAGGATAAAAGGTACATTTATTGGTACCGGGACCGGTCCGGCCATTCATATAAAATACCTTAACAATCACCGATGGTGACACGTAGACGCCAAACGTATATTTGTTCAGGTCTAACAATTTTACAATAAAGTATGTACTCTTACCAAATAATTATTACGTATAAAATTCTCAAAATTAAAATATCTAAAGAAAATTTAAAAATATTTAATAGAAAAAAGTTATTACATTTGTTAAATTGTCCATAACTTTTCACACTGTTATGTTATGACATATCTTAAATCGTGGTTTTCACCGCTGATGACCCAGGTTATATCCTTGATTAAATAAATAAATGATGTGGTTAAAATCAACATTTTTGTGATATCAATAAAAACAACGGTACCTTACCCTCGAATTTTCGATAAAGGACTCGCTCGTTCTCAACACTATCTTCGTAATACAACACAAAGATTCGTAAAATAAACACAATATATTTATTTGTTTCAACGAGAGACTGTCAGTGGCAGAGATCGGTAGGGGAATGGGGTCAAACGTTGTCAACTCTCCTATGGCAGATATCGACTATAAAGAGGAGTATTCGGTCAAAAACTACACGGAAAAAAATGACAAGTTAAGAAACGTATAATGTATTTTACTTAAAAAGTACAAATATTAGTGGCTAATCAATTGCAGGCTGCTGACTCCCGATCAAATAACTCCCGTCGTATGACTGTATAAATCGAAGGCTCTGCTCAGCATTTTTTTTTCCTTTCTGTGAGGGAATATAATTATATGAATTTTAAATTGTGATAGTATTTATCTTTAAAAATATACAGAAATCCAATTGCACGCCTATGTGCGATCCTTCACGCATTTTTTTATGAAATGAACTTTACATTTATATTAATTTAAGCACTTTGAGTTTGATTTAGTCGTGGAAATTTGTTTTCTAGAACGTTGAGGAAACAAGCTACTATACAATAATTTTATATGTGTATTAGTTTTAGGGCTACAGCCACTTTATTTTTAAAATCGAAAACCATATTAAAAATGCCATAAATATATGAGATATTAGTTAAAATAAATATTAGTGTTGAAATTTCGGATTTCCATCAATATTTTGACGAGATATTGCTCTTTTAAGTTTGGTTCGAAGGAGAATTGTAGTGAATCACCATGAATATCCAAGACTATAAGATATAAATTTGTATCAACAGTCCTAAATAGTTAATGCAGGAACCTATAAATTAAAAAGAAGAAATTTTATATTTTAATAATCTTTTTCATAGTTTTATTAAAATGTGCATAAATATTTCATATATTCCTATATATTCCTATTCATATATTCATCATATTCCTATATTTTTTAAAAATTTGTTTTTTTGTTTTTTTTTTTAGATTGTATTCTTGCATATGAATTTCACTCTAGAGGTCAAAAATAATTGATTGATGATACAACCCTTAGAATATTGATATAAATTATGCACTAAAAACATAATGAGTATTCTCCAATTTTAACCATAGTCCACTTACAAATTTCAAACTATTTGTTAAGTTATAACAGTATCTATGCAGTTCATGAGGTTTCCCCCTCTAACTCCCAAACGAAATTGTTTTTTTTTTTATTGTATTTAATATACATGCAAAATCAAAAATTATAATTAATACATTTCACAAATCGTTTATTTTTTGATACAATTGCTTGATCTACCGCATCCGAAAAATTATCTTGATAAAATTTTTGCTCATTCAAAACTGTACGTGTATCAAACTTTCATAATCAAACTGCTTACTTTTTTTTAGAACTCTTTTTTAGACCACTTAATAACTAAAAAGCATTACTCACTTCCATACTTTTGTTCCGAAGACATTTACTTTATTAATAGTAGATTGTAGTACATACCAAATAAAAACACTTAATGAAATCATAAGAAAATTGAATAACATGTTACGCGATAAGGAATCACAAACAGCATGGTAAGGTTAGAAGAGAAGATTATCTCAGTAGAAAAGGAAAATCATCTAAATGCACCAACTAGATAAAAATTTTATTCAGGAAAGGTACTACATTCTATACATCGAGGCAAGATTTTTTTTCGGAAAGCTGTTTACAAACAGAAAAAAACATAATTTTAAAAACACATCATAGTAAAGTCAACAACTTTAACTTACTCGATTTGCTCAGAATTTANCCAACTAGACAAAATTTTCTTTCAATAAAGGTACTACATTTATGCATAGAGGCAAGATTTTTTTTCGGAAAGTTATTTACAAACAGAAAAAAACATAATTTTAAAAACACATCATAGTAAAGTCAACAACTTTAACTTACTCGATTTGCTCAGAATTTATAGCAAATTACTTTAGTTGTGGAATTAGTTTCTATATTAAAATGCCACATTAAATATTATTTTTGATATTGTTGGACATGATTAAACATTAGATTCATATTTATGACGCTCCAGTATGATTATATAAATTTTGAAATATTTCGATTTCAGAAAAATAGTGAAGAAAAATTGCAAAAAAGTGGATGCCCCGGGTGAGGATTGAAATCACGACCTTACATTAATTGGACGTCCGCGGTACCAACTGCGGTACCGAGGCTGTGTTAATATTGGTTACCGAGGCTGTGTTAATATTGGTCGCTTTAAGGCCTATTAACATTTTACGTTCACAATACTTGACATTTTACGTTCACAATACTTGATGT